ATCCAGAGCCTGCTCGGCGGCGGGAGGTAAGCTGCGCTCGCCCGGCCAGCAGGCTGGCTTTTCCGCGGGGGCCGAGCGTGAACCAAAAACGGAGCCGCGCTGCCCCGGCTTGACGCGCTCGGAGGCAGGCAGCAGCCACCCAGGCGAGCGGGCGGGCGCTGGGCGGTTCTTTGGTGGTCAGCTTTCTTTATGGTCCAGCTCACACTTCCATATATTGCTACTGGAGAAACCGTAGCTTTGACTATGCAGGGGGGAAAGGGGGACGCCGCCGGCAAGCAAGAAATAAAGGAGGGAGAGAAGGGCGGCCGTGGGAGCCCCTAAAAGGCTGGTCGCCGCCCCATCTGCCCTGCGCGGGCCCTCGGCTGGGAAGCGAAAGCTGGCAGACCGAAGCGCCTCCCTGCTGCCCAAAGCCGCCGCCCCCCCACCCCCCGGAATAGGCGTCCTTCTCCGCCTCCGCTTGCCCGTGACAGGAATCCAGAAGGGGAAAAAAAGCCTGGCTTGCACAGCTCCCTCCCTCCCTTCCGCGGGAAAGCCATCCACACGGGAGCAGTGGCGGCGGCGGCAGTAATAATAATCCTCCCAGGGTCAATTGCGTTGTTTCGACAGGAACCTTTTGGGCGGAGTGGTCGAGTCCCGAAGCCCCGACTGGACTGTGCCGCTTCAGGCGGCCGAGGGGAGGGAATGTGTGTTTCTGAACGTGCCTCTTGTTTGAGGTACGTTAAGAAGGAGCGATCCTAAATCGATCTCCCGTGACGCGGTTGTTCCCTCCGTAAAGGAGAGCTTGGCGCCCCGCTCCGGCCCGCAGGCTCCCCGCGTCATCCTCCTGCTGTTCCGCCGCCGCCGGCCCGTGACAGAGCTCGGCACCAGGAAACGCCCGGCCTTGCACCTTGAGAGCATCCCTCAATGGAGCTTCTTTTGCATTCCCGAGTGGAACAGTCCGGAACACGAGAGCCCCGCCTGTACCACTTCTTGGGGCTCCCGGACCGCCCCGTCTGCGCGTGCGAGTAAAACGAAGGGTTAAAATCCCGAGGTAGACGTCGTGCCGTTCCAGTATACGGTACAGACCTGCTGTGCTGGTTTTCTCCTTTCAGGGAATTCTCAACGTAGGAACACTCGGAAATGGCACTGCCCACCTGCAATCTGCTCCAGTACCTCATGGATCTTCTGCCTGGCCCTGTTGCATGTGAAGATGATGCTTGAGTCAGATGCTTCTCAATAGGAAGGCCACCTGGGGGAAAAAAAAGGAGGCTGGCCTCCTGTACCTTTTAATAGGTCTCTGGAAGGAAGGCTTCCTGCTACACCTGCTGAAGTTCCTTCTTCCACATACCTAGAAAAGTACAGTACAGGTGTGTTGCCCTCTTCTTCAAGGGACTACCTTAGACTGAGGATAAAGTGGGTATCTGGGCATGCCACAGGATCCCGTTCTTGTTTGTATGATTAGGACTGCAGGGGGTGAATAGCTGTTCCAGTCTGGGCTGCTGTCTGTGAGTAAATACAAGCCTACTACCCACAGGCTGTGAAGGGGAGCTGCCACTATCCAGCTGGGGAGAGCAGGTGATGTCATGTTTTCTTGTGGGCTTTTCACCTCATTTGCCTTGCAGCAAATTGTTCCTGGAGGCCAAGCTAGTCCTCTTGATCTCTTTTCCAGTTGTTGGGCAGTTGTGTCTCTATAGTTTGAGAAATGCCTGACTTAAGTCCTTAAGTGATAAGTGCCTGGCTATCCACTGAATACAACTAAGAAAGGTTGTGGTGTAAGAGTTAGCTGCAGTCTGTAGTTCTGTAGTGTCTTCTGGGTGGAAGAAGGAAGCATGTCAAGTATATTTAGTGATCAGTAGATTTTTTTTTAATCTAAGAGGATGCTTACATTTTTCTTCTTCTCCCTCTTGCTTTTTCCTTTCCTTGTCATCTCTTTCAGGCTTTAAGCCTAAACATCAGCAGGACAAAGATCACACTCTGTGTGTATGTGTGTTTAAATTAATCTGTAAGCTGTTCAGGGAGCCTCTCCACTGGACAGAATGATAAAAATAGATGGTTTATAAAGAAACTATTCAGCTTTCTGTCATTTTGCAAGCTACGCTTTTCTCTAGAAGTTTTACAAAAGCAAGGCGACTTTGTAAAATGTGTTATTTCACGTGTCACAGTTGTATCCCACCTTTCCTCTAATGAGCTCAAGGCAACAAGTATGGTTTTCCTCTTCTCTATTTTATCCTTACAACAACTCTGTGTCGTTGTTACACTATGTTTTTCATTGCCAACTGGGAATGATAACAGTTCTTCTGAGTCTAGTCCAGTACTATAACCACTACGCCATTAATGACACCTTTAATTCCACCATATAAGGTGTTAAAGTTTTGCTTGAACTGAGTCACCCCAGATGGAGTATGCAGAGGCAGGGCTGCGTGTTTGATTGCTCCCTGATGTGCTAATTTCCAGTGTGAGTGGAGGTGTGTGCTTTCAACATCCATTTCCTCTCTTGCACTATATACAGTGGTACACTGCGATAAAGGTTTACCAGGGATCCGCAGAGCTTCAGATTCAGCTGGGGCTTCCAACATACAGTATAAGAATCAACTGTATTTAAATAAGACAAAAAATTGATTTCCAGCAGCTTATACAGTATTTAAATCTTCACAGAGACAGCTCTCAATATGGACATTAGGCTTAATTTACTTGGTTAATAGCCACAAAACTAATGACCAGATGCTTGTATGAATTCTTCTGATAGAGGATGATCCGGCTTTATCATTTCAAATATGCCTTTTTCTAAAAAGCCAGCAACAAAGCAGGTAGTGTTATTAATGTATATGTTTAAATTACATCCTTCCTTTCTCTCTAGACTAGAACCCAAAGTGGCTTCACAATATGATTTTTGACAGAACATACAGCTAAAAAAAAAACCAACATGTTGTCCTATTAATGGGGGCCCACACCCTGCAGGGCCTCCATGTTCCAGTGAATCTAAACTGCAGCAGGGAGTGATCTGCTATCGCGACAGAATGATAGAGATTTCCTCCACATCAAGATGGTTTTCATCCCACCCAGTACAAAAAGAACAAGTCCCGCGTATACCTGCCAAATAGATGTGTGCAGATACTATTTGGTTGCCAGGGATGACATCAAGTCTGAGCTACCCCTGATAGACCTTACCGTATTTTGAAATGCCGCAGCAGAACAAGCAGCACCATCCCCAAGATCATCTCAGCTAGCTCAGAAAGGGAGGTTGTTTTGTAATGAAGTGGCATCAAAGAATCCCTGTCCTCTCACAGATACATGCTTTGAGATATACTCAAAACCAGTGGATAGGGGGATAGAAGACCTGATGAGTGGGTGCAAGTCCCACTGAACTTAATAGAATACTGGACCAGGAATCCTGCTTCATCACAACTCCAGATTGCAAAGTGTTCTACTGGTGATCAGGCAAATGCAAGTGCCCTGCAGACACCAAGAGTTAAGAGGTTAGTGGCACAGTTAGTGCCTGCAGCCCCCTGTCCCTTACATATATCTTGGTACACATGCAAGAGAGCATGGAAATGTTGTGTTTTGAATCACAACCTGCATAATCTCATGACCCTTCTAACTTTTCCAATCTAACAGGCCTATAATGCTACCAAAAGAGGGTCGCCTTGTGGCAGCTGTTGATTACAAGTTACTGGAATGACATCATTCCCATAGACGACTGGATCTGTAGAAGTGTTCAAACAGTTGATTAGGTGCAGTCTCTTTATAATATGCAGGAAATATGTTAGTTGCCACAGAGGGCCTTTCGCCCACTCATCGGCTCCTAGGAACTTCCTTTCTGGAGTTCCACTGAAATTAATCAACTTTTCCTAGCCATTGCTGAGCATCGGCATGGGAGAAAAAGAAGCTTAAGCACGATGGTCCTAGTAAAACACAACAATCAATGAACAGTGCAATATGTACAAAGATGATTACAGCTGCATAAGACATGGTAGTATGCATAAAATTGTTAGTTCTACACTCTGTGTGTGTGTGTGTGTGTGTGTGTGTGTGTGTGTGTGTGTGTGTGTGTGAGAGAGAGAGAGAGAGAGAGAGAGAGAGAGAGAGAGAGAGAGAATGACTGAGTTGTGAATCAGAAAATCCCTGGTTTAAAACTCCTGTCAGACATGAATACAGCTGGTGATGTCAAACAAACAAACCATTCTGTCTCAGCCTCCCCTTCCCCATCTGCAACATGGGGATAATATGTATTATGGTCTTATTTTACAGAGATTTTGCTTATAGGTATCATTTATGCCAAGTACTCTGCCCACACTAAAAGCACTTGTACATGCTAAACACGGTAGCCACTGTTTTCACTTATCATGGTATGATTGCCACAAGTTGTTATTTTCCAGTTGCTCTGAATAACGCCTCTCATGGTTTCTTGAGTATTTATTGATTGTGGTAATATTAGGCAAATATTTATAAACAAAAACATCAAGATTATGAAGCTGATTTGGAAGAGAGGGCAATAGTCTGTTGTTGCCTTAATTGGTGCAATCCAGTTAAGCGCTTTCTAGCATAATTGTATGTGTGTTCATTTGGAAATAGGTTTCTCACAATTTCATGGGGAGAGCCAGTGATGAGATAGCACATGATTCTACATTTAGTTGCTGGCAGATAAAACATATGATCCTAGGTTTGGGAAGATCTCTGCCTAAGGCTTTAGAGAGCTACTCTAGGTACAGAAGGGGGAACAGGGCTAGAGTAAACAATGGACTCAGGACCAAAGTACCGGGGAAGCTAAATTTGCAATGAATTAGTTGATAAAAGTTGATAAAAACCCTTGGAAGGTACACTCTTCAGGTAGCCATGGCTGCACATTCAATTTGCAAATGAAGTCTGGGCTTATCTTGAGGTGACGCATCAGCAAACAAAAGCAAACTAACTTGTAGCATGTGTAGCTCACTTGTGAAAAACCTCACACTAGAGTACACAAACAAATTTCATTTTTAAAGGAAACTCTGCTTGTAATGATGAGCTTACAATGGGGTCTCTACTTAAGAACGTCTCTACTTAAGAACAATCCAGCTTAAGAACAGCTCCATTTGCTAAATTTTGCTTCTACTTGAGAACAGAAATCCAAAATAAGAACAGGAAAAAAAAACCTTTCCTGCTCTTTTTTTAACCTTAGGTCATCTTAGGTTTTAAAAAAATTCTCCCCCTAGTGGTAGAGTCCGTATTAACCAGCTTTGCATTAGTTCCTATGGGAACTAATGCTTCAATGTACGAACACACCTATACATATCAAAAAAACAGCCAGAATGGATTAATTGGTTGTCAGTCCATTCCTATGGGAAATTTTGCTTCAACTTAAGAACGTTTCAACTTAAGAACACCATTCCAAAACCGATTAAGTTCTTAAGTATAGGTTCCACTGTAGTTTCTATGGACGGAAAAGAGCAGATACAGATTAAATGGTTTTCAATGCATTCCTATGGGAAATGCAGATTCAACATAAGAACTTTTCAACTTGAGAACCACCTTCCAATACGGATTAAGTTCTTAAGTAGAGACCCCACTGTATTTGTAAGATTTGTTTTGATTATCAAAACATTACAGTTTCTTAGATTCTGTGTGGAACTGATGTCTAGAAAGGGTGCTAAAGACAGCGGCTTTAGTCCTTCTGATTTCAAGAGCACCATTAACATTGCTGAGCATTTTTAAAATCACCTCGTTTTATCAGGATCATGGCTTCACTTTAATCATTCCTTTTGTACCCAGGATTCTTGGTAGTCTTGTTGGTTTTATTGAAACAAAAGAGAGCCATGTGGTCATTGCACAATATAAATGCAGGAGCAGGTTATATTTTTATAGGCCACTAAAGAAATCATACAATCTGCTTGCTTTCCTGGATCTGGGCCCATTCATCTGGCTTCTTGAGGATGATGACAAGGGCACCACCAGTGCAAGCCTGGTGGAAGTGGGTCCTGATCCACAAAGGCTAGCAGATTGTTTGATTTTTCTAGTGGCCTATAAAGGTCTGACTCCTGCCTTTGTATTGTTGGCTCAATGTTACAGTTTTATGGCTATGATTAACCAGAGCAGAAAATGATCTAGAGCTTTTCTGAAGAAGGAGCCTTATAAATGCACAAAAGAAACAAAAGGAGTATGAATTCATCTTCTGTCAACATATACATGTCATGAGTCAAAATGGCATTGCTTCACATGCACATACTGTAGTTTTCAGAAGTCAGATACTGCATTATTGTTATCATGCTGAATTAATATGCGTCATTATATTTATTACCTTTTCCAAGGAGCTCAGGAT